AACCAATCGGTTGTTCCATGACCAGTTCTAACTGTTGCTTCTTGGCCTGCATACAGATTTCAGATAACTGGTATTATATTACAATTTGCCCTAGTAACGAGAAAACCACATACAAATTTTAAAGAGAAACTTTTCCCTTGATTTTAATGAATTGATGTATTGGTGCACTGATATTTATTTTTTATTTATCGTATATATACATGTTAATAAGGACTGATGTACAGATGTTGCCAAATGGAACTTCTCTCTGCTTGAGGAGTGCAGCAGGCTTGCATGGCATCTCAAGAACCATCCTCTAAAAGTGGATGAGATCAGGATTATTTCTGATCAGTTTTAAAGATTTTTAAGGTCTTACAGCACACACACACAACTGGAGCGAAGTGGTTAAGCCATTAGACTGCATGAAGGAGATTCAAGTCCTTGTCCATCCTTGGACGTGAACGCTCAGTAGATGCCTTTGGGTTGTTGTGTAAAAACAGGAAAGAGGAACACCACGTATGATGTCTTGAGCTCCAGAAGGAAAGGTGGGATATAAATCTAATAAACAATACTATATTAAAATAGTATACTGTATATTAACACAGTAATCATAAATAACGCAAATAACTTAATGTGAGAAGCACTTAAACACTGTCAATAGGCAGAATTCTTGCTAATTCCCCCAAAAGACCCTAAAAAAAAAAAAAATTAAACCTCACATCAGTTCAATACAAGGTGAAGAAAACAACTGCAAATTCCAAGCTGCAGGAGTCACTAAACGCAGTTAAAAAGAAGATGGTGCCGAACAATTGGCGGCCAGGGAAGTCCCTCAAATGATGACCACGCCCCTTGTGGACTAAGAACCGCCCATTCTGGGTGAAAGAACCCAAACGCAGGTTGTTGTTGTTGTTTAGTCGTTAAGTCGTGTCCGACTCTTCGTGACCCCATGAACCATATTGCGCCAGGCCTTCCTGTCCTTCACTCCTTCCCTGAGTTTGCTCAGTTTCATGCTCATTGCTTCAGTGATGCTATCAAAGAGGGGCTCCAAGAACGCTTCCAGGCGAGGTAGATGAAGGACGGGCTCGCTGGTTAAGGCCGGCCAGCCAGCCAGCCAGCATTAGCCGCGTGGCGGTCACGTGACTGCCCCGCTCCGCCAAGTCCGTCCACTCGCCTCCCTCCGGCGTCTTCCTTCAGTTCGTTCTTCCGCCCTCCGCGCGTTCGCGGTAGGTACGATGGCAGTGGCCGGTGGTCACGTGCTGTTCACGTTCGGACGCGTGGCCCAGGGTTGTGGCTTCGTTTGCCGGTTCGCCTCTAAGGCGCCCCTGCAGCGGTCCAAGCGGCGGCTTCCTGTCATTGCGGCTGAGGGGAACGCTGCGTTTGGGGAACGCGGTTCTGGGGCGCTGTGCCCTTGCGCGGGGGCAGCGGGTTTGCTTTGTGCGTTGTAGACTAACCAGGTGTAAAAGCGCTCTTGGCCGCCACGTGGGCGAAAAGCGAATCTGCCCCCGAAAAGCTCGCTTGAATTTCATTCCGTGGATGACAGCAAAGAAGGCGGTATTTTTATTGAATGCAGTTGCGCGGCGCTGCAAGATCCGCTCACTGTACTTCGCTGTTTAGTCTTAACTCCAGCGTGCAGTCGCTCTCCAGCCCAGCCGCCTCCGACCCGTGAATGAGGTGGACGCGGTTCCGGCGCTGTAACCAGCACAGCGCCGGTGTTCCTTCTCCGACACAGCTGGACAGTGCCAGGTCGGGGAAGGTGGTTGTAGATTAAACATAGTTGAATTTTAACGGATTTCAGGACCCTTGTTCTGTGATTTAGGAACGTGGTAGCATTTAGCTAAATAGGTAACAAAATAACTATTTCATACGATAAATGGCAAACAAACTTTTTAGCTCGAGGAGAAGAGTAGATTCCTTGATACAAATAGTCTTAGCTGCAAATCAGTTATTTAAAACATTGCTGTGCTGTGTATTTCTTACTTCCAAGAAATATATGGGTAATGTTTTGAATTACAAATCCCATAATCTCTGAACATTACCACTGTTATATGTGACTGGGGTCAGTGGCTTCACTGGCAAACTGATGATGCCAGAATTAGGATAATGATGCAATGATGGGATCATGCGAATGCTATGATTATGTACGTGCACTGGTACGTTAGACAAAAATATGTAAGTCACGGCCATTGCATGATTACATCATTATGCGTGTAGTTATTTGCCACCTTACAGTGAATGCCCATGATTTTAGTGGTTATTTTACCATCACGGTTCTTACAAAATGTAAAATACAAATTGATTATGATGCTTGATCAATTCAGATAAAGATTCTATTCATCACAAAGTCCTTCTGGCACAGAAGGTTTTAATGATCTTGCATTGATTCTAAGGGAAATTCTTCCCCACCCCCCCCCCCCCCCCCAAATTTTTGGTTACATCTCTCTTGCAGTTAGTGAACTATAAATCTCCAAGCAGAGAGGGAATATGCAGAACAAATTGTGTGCTGGGTGAGATAGCCCCTATTAGTAATTCCCTTTTCCTACAACCAAGAGGTAGTTTCACAGTACCCCCTTTAGATGCCCACACTCAGGCACCTTTGGGGCACCAGGTGTCTGTGAGGAGGGCTGGGCGGCCAGTGACACGCATCATGACACAAATGATGCAACGTATGTGTCAGGCGTCATGATGTAAATATAAGGTGGCATCCTTTTCGTGATGACATTATGACACACTTCTTCATTTTGACGTTATTGCAGTTATGAATGCTGCAGTGTTGAGGGCTGCTATTCTATCAGAGCATCAGGTTGGATGTGGTGGGTAGAGAAGTGTGAAGATGCAAAAGAAAGGGAAGGCCAGCAATCTAATCAATATCTTTCTGGATAAAAAACAACCACATCTAATTGTGTTCACATGACACACTGAGTGGCAACTAAGCACTCAGATTTTAACCTAGCATGCTTGAAGTCTGCCACTTTTTTCACTCTGAGTTCAATGTATTATTCTGCTCCCCACCCCCCACCCCCAATTTGGCAAGTAGACACTGGTTAAATTCATCATGTATTAGTGTATCATACAAACCCAGCCATTTTTTACTTATCAGCCATAGGTTTCTATTCATCCTAGACCAACAGATGGTGGAATTCTTGAACTCCTGTATATTAATGCATGTGTTTTGACAGCAAATAGAACTATAGCAATTTGTGTAAGAAAAAACTAGATACAGTACATTTAGATTGGAAACTTTTGTGTTTCTTTGGAAAATGAAGTTGGTAATAAGTGGAACCAAAGAATATCAATAAGCTCTTGGATAGGGTTCATCTAATGGACAGTGCATAATTGCATTTTCAAAACTATTTAAAGAGTATTATTGCATTCATGTCCTGTCTCTGAATTTTTAATATATATCTTGCTGGGCTTTGTGGGAAACAAGAAGCTTAGCTAGCTGTATCTTTGGCTGGATCCATCAGGGAACTTCTTTTGATCTTGTTCCAAATCAGTAATAGAAATTGATTTGTTCTTTCAATCAGTTCTGGTTATGATATTGTTGATTCTTTATTCTGGCTTCTGATGTTTGAAGATCAGAAATAATGTTTTAGTTATTGTCTAAATGTTGCTTAGATCAGGTCTGTAAATACAGTTAAAATCAGTGTTGCTTCTAGTAGAAAACAAGCATAATTGAATATTTAAATATTATTTATCCATTTGTTTACGGTCAATAAAGATGGCAAGCATTGCGTTAGAGGAAGGGGTTTGTCATCCATGCCCCTTACAGCATTTATCATTTCAAATTTAATTTCAAACAGATGTAATTCACATCCATTTCAGGGTGAATGTGGGTTGTGGTTGCCCAGTGTTTACACTTGGGAGGACTGTGTAGTCTGTTTTAGGTAACCTATTGATTCAGACTTCAAGGATTGAAAGGTATGAGTTGAAAGGCTAGAGACAACTAGCATTGCTTTTGCAATTGTTGTAAACCACATATTGCTGGGAGATACTGGGAGAAATGATACTGGGAGAAATCAGAATATCTATTTCTCTTTGCATTATTAGTGTTACTAATTATGTCATTTAACATTTTATGTGCACATATATATGTGTGTATTAATAAAGATGTTTTGGCTTGCTTAATGTAAGTGGTAGAAGAAGTTACTTCCCACATATAGTATACAGTACAGAAAACTGTAATACAAATAGATTACTCCATTGTTGCCTGAAAATAGGGTGCATCATTTGTGCATTTTCAAATGGGACATGAAATATGACACAATAGTGGCCAGCATTCCCAAAGCAATGTAAGACAATGCACAGAGAGTAGAATGGTGGAAAATCCTGAGATGGGCACTAATGAGTCAAGCTGAATTTGCACAGGCCTTCTTTATTCATATACTTCAGAAACTGGAATAAGAGATGGAGTATTTCCACTGGCTTCTATTACAGTACAGTATTAGGAATGTAATAGTTAAGAGGCTGAGCTAAATTAAGAACCCCTGACTTGTATCTGACCTCTGCCATGAATGTAATGGATAGTCTTTGATAGCCTCTTCCAATTTTAACCCTTTCAACTGGTAAATATTATTAAAATGGGTAATATTTAATTAGCTAGGTGATAGATTAATAACAGTATTCTTACATGCCAGTGATATGGTATTATTTTCACAATGCAGTTGAAGACTGACCTTTCAAGGCAGCTTTTGGCAGCATTAGGAACCAAGTATAAAAAGACTTGGGCATAATTTCAAATTATGGATTAACAGGAATCTTTTACTTACATGTTATATCAAAGACTCAGTGCTCTACCATCAGTACTTTTGGAAATTAAATATGTAGCATTCCCAAATCTGAATGGATCTCTCTTTGTGTAATCAGAGAAATTAAGTCAGCTACATGCATGCTGGTGATGGTCCCTTTTATTTCATTTTTGGAACATTTTATAATCTGTATTCTAAATAGTTGCTGAAGTGGAACAATTATATTTCATACTTAGGAGCAATATATGTCTGTGGAGTCCTTGGTGCAATATATGTCTATTGGCTATCAATACTAGTGATTATTTGTCAGTTATTTTTTTGAGATGTCAAAGGTTTGTGCCATTTTTGGAGGTTCTCGTGGAATTGGTCGGGCTGTTGCACAACTACTAGCACAGAAAGGATATTGCCTGGCTGTTATAGCAAGAAATCTGGACATGGCTCAAGCTACCGCAGATGGCTTGGGAGGTAAGTAAATGTTGATATTTGTTTTTCACACATACCTTAGAAAACATATGGAACTACTAAAATAACCCACTATCTAATATAAATTTGCTGAATTGTTTTAAATTGAAGACACTTGTAAGTTCACTGATTCAACTCTTACGACTTACTATGTTTCTTTTTGTAAATGTTATTAAACATGTAACTATAATGTTTATTAGTTTATCATAATGTTTATAATAACTAACAAAATTAAACATATAACTAATATGGAGTGTGAAGATCTAAATATCTCTCCTGGCAATAAAATACTTGTATGAAAGAGCTCCCACAAACTATTTTTGTTGAATTAAGTTTAAATCTATAGAAATGTGGAATATAAACGCGAAAACAGTTTTCCATTGATATTTGTTTACTGTACATTCCAATTTCCTTTTCCATACTACCTTGTATACTTGAATGTCTAAATTGGTGTTTCTATCCACAATTTATACATAATTATTATAGGGTTAGTTTATTGTAAGAAATATGTTAAATCCTCTAATACTAGAAGTGGGTTCTAAAGTGCTTGGGTCTGTTGTTGCATATCTAGATGCCAAACAGTGTTTTAACCAAGGATACTTTTTTGTACTTTTCAGCAAATGATGTTTGTATTACAACCCATCAAATAACAAAATTCATAGTTAATTACTATGTGGTAACTACTAGGGCCTTGATATGAATACACTCCTTGTCAGACTAAGGTTTAGAACATTTATTATAATTCTGAACTAACACAGATGGGCTTTGTATGTTTCTGCATTGATCTGGTCAAATATCTAAGGCCAACTGGATCTCTCATAGGCTTTTGAAGAACTGAGCGCAAATGTTTGCTAGCCTGTATGACCATTTAAAGGGAGATGTCTTACATGCTGCATTTTCAGGAGCCTCCTCAGGATATCAGTTTTCAAAAGGAAAAAAGAGCCCCCTGTAAGGGAGATGGCCACTGTGGGGGAGGGAGACGACATAAAACTCTATATAGCTGGTAGCCAGTTTGTGGACAATTAGCATTTAATCTAGTATGCTAGCTACTTGCCCTTTTAAGAAAATGAACTCTCCTCCAAGTCTCCTGGGGTTGTGCCATTTAGTATTAAGGGACCAAGTTTAATGGCCAGTTGTAGGAATATATACTGTATATGTAAGCTTCCCAGAGTCTGTTGGATTGGGCAGCTACAGATGTGGCTGAAAGTATTGGTACCTCTCCACTTTTTCCCAAAGAATCCCAATTTGCCATGAAATAAGTTGAACCTGAAATAAGTAAATGGCATCCACCATTCTTTATTCCACTTTGCTTTTGATGTATGACTTAACATATTATTATAAATAATAAAACAAATGAAAATGGCATATTTAGAAATATAAAGAGCACTATGTATTTATGCCAAAACAGTCATTTTTGAACTTTTAATTTTTATCACAAATGCTCAGTTTAAGTGAAGCTTATTCACTTCCATCTCTTACTATTGATAGTAATGATGTGGTATAACTTAAGGGTCTGCTTAAGATCTGATAAATGAATATTGGCTTTATTTTTTTTTCGTGGGAAAGAGTTTGTTGGATTAATATCCCACCTTTTGATCAGGAGCTGAAGGCCTGGGTACATTTTAACAAAATATATTCTTCAGTAGTGAGTACTGTTCAGATAAAACTTGCAACCACATTGTTTATTGTTTTCAGTTATCCAAATATTAGTAGTTCTTCTTTTAATTAACAATAATTCAGTTTTAAGAATTGCAAAATCTGATTTTGAGTAATTGATGTCTCATCATGGATTTGATTTCACCACAGCAGGTCATCTTGCACTGAGTTGTGATATCACCAAAGAAGAAGCCATCCAAAATACATTTAAAGAAATAGAGAATAATTTAGGTCATATACGCTATCTGGTTAATGCTGCAGGTATCAACAGGTTAGTTTCACATTTAAGTTGTAGTCTGAATTACACATATGAAAATATCTTATAGAAATAAAAAACAGAGAATGGAGTTTATTTTGTGTCAAAGAATAAAGAATACATAAAATATTATAGAAGATAATTTTATATAGGATAGTTTATCCCTTCTTTAACCTTAAGGTAGTCAACAATATTTCACTATCTTGAAATAACCTTTTAATTTGCTTGAATTTATAAACTGATCAAATGCTAAATAGAATTTTAGGGTTTTTTAATATATCAATTTCATCTTAAAAGATATTTAAATTTCTTGTGTAAGATTTCAGGGTCTGTTCAAATATATGGCAGTTACAGGGTGACAGTTTAAGCAAAGATACATAGATAAAATGTTCTGGAAACATACAAAGCTTGATGGCTAATTCTTAATCAACCACGTGTCTTTAATAAATACAGTAAATTGAGTTTAGGTACACAACTTCATAATGAAACTATTAGAATAACTTCAGCATTGATCAACTATAATCAATTGTTTTTCTAAATACAACTGAATTTGCTTGAATTTCTTTCTTGATTCTAGGGATGGACTACTGTTGCGAACCAAGTCTGATGATATGATATCCCAGCTTCAGACCAATCTTTTGGGAACCATGTTGACTTGTAAAGCTGCTGTAAAGAGTATGATTCAACAGCAGGGTGGTGCTATTGTTAACGTAGGTATGTCTACCTAAGCAAACTTGGATATATTATTTTAGTACTGATTTTTCTGGAAACAATATAAGCTGTGCTTAAAAATTCCGTTGCATAAGTTAACGTATTTGAAAGTTGTTACCAGAATTAACCCTAATATTTTGAGTCCAAAATATGCTTTTTTGTGCAGTGTCTTTTGTCTACAGAAAGTGCTTTACATTGCAGGATAAAATAATATTTCTGCTTGTGAAAGAGCTTGATCAAGAAGAAGCATGAAAATTACTTCAGAAGTTACAGCTCTGCATGAACCCTTTTGCTAATAATGCCTATTATAGCTAAACATCAATAGAGGGAAAAGTGATTTGTAGTGCGTAGGAGGCATGCACTTAGTATCTGCTGGCAACTCTTTAAAGGCATTTTTATTTTAAGAGGTGCCAACAGGTGAAATATACCTGGTCACACATGCTCCAAATTACTTTTTCCACTGCAATTCCAGATCACTGCCTCTGCACATATTTAAAAAAGAACACTTTTGGCATTCACAATTCTTCAGATCCAGACCATTATTCCAGTTACCATTTATTTCACATTATTGTACCCACTTTGTGGAGAGATCCTCATATAAGAGTATTTTTATTATTAATTTTTGTACTACATAATTGTACTACTTTGTACTACTCTTAATAAGAGTAAGGCTTTTTCTTAGCTGGAGGGGCATATAAGCTCTAGTAAACAATTACATTAATAAGCCTTTTAAACTCCTTCCATTCTGAGAGTTTTGGAAAATGAGGGAAGGAAGCTTCTATGGTATCTGGAGTTAGGCTCATAATTGCAGTTCGTAGGTAATGGGTATCCATATGTATTCTAAATGTTTCAAAGATGCTTATAACCATAATTATGTAAAAGAGCTCCAATTCCAAAATTTACTTTAAATTATAGTGTAGGTTATATTTAATTGTTAGCTTTATGTTGTAAAGCTAACAATTAAATAAAGCTGAAAAGTAGGGCACAAATACTGATGGATGGAAGAAAGGAATGAAATGTTTGCATTTGTCATGGGAAAACACATTTAATATAAATCAAATTTAACTGTTGCACCTGATGTATGTCACGAATAATTGTCTCCTTTCAACTTTGGTGTATTTATGTATCTTTCCCTTTAGAAGTATTAGAATGTTTATTGTCCTTGATACCCTATGTGGCCCCAAATACCTATAGAAATTATGTGCTTTGAGAAATTATAAGACTGTCAAGGATGCTGATTAACAACATCCTTATCAATTTCTTCTTCTGTTGTAGTATGCTGGGTCAGACTGTTAGAATAACAACTAAGAGATGATTCTCGTACATCAGAGCAGATGATCCTGCATTTCAGAGGGGGTTGCTGAATTCTCCTTTAGGATGTTACATCAAGTTTCTGTCCTTATTTCCCTTCCTTGCCAGTTGTAAAACAATTGCTTCTACATTTGTGCCTGTTCAATATATATGCATGCCCAATCCATTTTTTTATCCTATATAAGAACTTTGTAACCTTGTAGCTGGTGCTCATGACTCTTCTGGGTGTAAGAGACCAATGACTCACTGCAGTCGGTTAGCTTTGAAAATAAGTAATTACTCAGTTCTCTAGTTTTGACATTTCTTGGGTGAGTTTTCCACCAGAGAAGGGAGGCTTTTCTTTTTCCTTTCAGTGTTTCAAAACAGAATAGCATTTCTCCTTTGATTCCTTTGGAATCAAAGAATTCCGAACACAATACCTGTTGTAACAGCTTCATAAGCTTCCACTTCAGCTCTGAAGATATTTCTTATATTGTTGTTGCTTTTTACAAATGGCTGTGGCTAAACACATTTTTCACTCAGATTTAAAACAGAAAATGTAGCAGGGTAAGAACTGTTTTTATTTATTGATTTTGTTTTATTTCAAGTATGTATAAAAACAAAAAAATATGAAGAAGATAATTACACTTATATCCTATTAATTGACCTTAATTATTGTTGGTATATTGATTTAAATCTTTGAGTATACATTGGGGATTTCTAAATTATTTTGTCCAAATGCAAGTTTGATTCTTCATTGTAAGGCCTTCAAACACATTAAATGAATAAAATGGGCTATTTTTTAAATTGAAAGTTATCAACATTCAGTACTGTTATTGTAAACTGAATGTGCATGATTTCAAATTTTAAACTTGGGCTTTATTACTTTTATATTTATTTTAGGAAGTATTGTTGGATTAAAAGGCAATGCTGGTCAGAGTGTATATAGTGCCAGCAAAGCAGGCTTAGTTGGATTTTCACGCTCTTTTGCTAAAGAAGTAGCGCGAAAGAACATTCGAGTCAACATGGTTGCTCCAGGTGAGTTTTTGGTTCAGTTGCTTATTCCTTAAATGTCACATAAGATTCAGTATTGTAGGAACATGAAAGTCACAAAACATGGGCACACAGCTATGTAAGTGTAAAACATGCAGTGGGGATTTCTCCAAAATTTCCATTGTATAATTGTATCAGCTTCATATTCAGTATGTAAAGAAAATTAAAATGGTTGCTATAGCTAATTGTAGTGTTTTTTTTAATACATTTTTTTCCAGATAATGGAAAAAAGTTTCCAACTTCAGTGACAGTCCTGACTGTTGACTGTACTTGCACACCCATGTGGGAGGCATTTGAAGTGGCCACACAAGCTTTTGAGATCCTGCCAAATGGTGTTAGACAGCAGGAATAATTACAGGATACCTCGAGGTATATCTGTATATAATATATATGCATATATACTTCTCTAAAAAAAAAAAGTGAAGATACTGTGGTATTGTGCTTGAGCAGCACATATTGTTACATATAGAGATTCCTTTCTCATTATGAACTATTTTCATGGTGATAACCATTTTCAAACCATGTCTTCTGTAACAGTAACTATTTCCTTTTTCTGAAGCAGAACGGTGCAAAGACTGAACAGATGAATCATTATTGCTTTAGCTGAATACTGTAATCATTTTATATATCTACTTCCACAGAATAATTAATGTTCTTGCGTGAACTATGAAATTCTGTTGGATCTTTTCTTTACTGATCATAGTAAGATTTGGATTTGAATATTAATTAGTACCTTTTGGCATCTCACAAAGACCCTAACAGTGAATAATAGTGAATAACACTAAGTCAAGTGGTTGGATATGAGAGTATAACCTCCAGCTTTATAACCCAAGAGAAAAATATATTTTTCAACCATAGTCTCTGCTGATTTTATTAAATTTTCACGTCTCTTCATTATACCTTACAAAAATTACAGTTCTCCGTATGCTTTCTTTGGAGCAGGCCCTTGAAGAACTGTTAGACTGACTTCTGAGTAGGCATGCAAAAGATTAAATGTTAAGACTATGAACGTGAATTGCTTTCTATTTATTTTATAGTGATGTGTGTGTGTGTGTGTGTGTGTGTGTATAATCTGAAATATTTCAATTAGTTTTAAGAGTATGTTTGCAGTATATAGTAAAGTTGGAAGTATGGATTCTAAATATGGAAACTTCCCTTAGGTCTATTTATGAGTGCCTTCTTCACTTCAAACCTTAATGTGTTGTCAAACATTGATAACTTACCTGTACTGACCAAACCTTTATATAAAGGAGATTTTATTTAATTCTGCAGTGCACTATGGATTAAATAACTTTCTGCATGGGCTGAAGAATCAGAAGGAGAGCAAGGCTTAGAGTTCATTGTCAGTAGTTGGCATCTTAAAACCAGAATGGCAAACAAATAGTTTACATGGTCAGGCTTCCCAAGTACTGTATATTGAAATAAATGTTCTATATTTTTTAAAATGATAGTAATGATTTCTAAGTAGGCATCTGGATTAGCACATACAGATGTTATGCAAACTTGTCCTATTTATTTATACTTGGGAGGGTAACACATTTTCCTCTTCTCTGGGCATTGATAAGTAGGCTGAAACATTTCCTCTGTTGTAACACACAGAGATGTTTGGATGACTGAAAAGAGAAACATTTAAATTATAGGGTTGTGGGCTTGGAGTAATAAGAATATGCTTAGTCTAGTCTGATTGAATTTCTTTCTTTTACTTTAAATTGGATGCATTTATGGAACTATATCCCATTAAAATCACTACTGAGACATAGGCCTGGTTCAGATAACAAATAACATATTGAGATTGTGGCTTGGTTGTTTTTGTGATTTGGAAACCATGCTTTATCACATAGCTTATTGCATGACACTAATTATTCATTATTGTATGCTGTGGTTTTTAGTGATGGTATATTGAATAAGTCACAATTGGTTTACACAAAATGCTACCTAATTCATAGTGTTAAAACCAGAATCCTAGTTGATTGGGGCAGCTTATGAATACAGTAAATAAATACATACCAAACAGGTTACGTTATATACTTAGTACATTATGTGATGCCAGCATTATTGTCAAATGATAAGAAACTGGCTATGTAAATCTGTTACCCAGTTCAACAGTTAATTTTTCTGGATTGAAAACATCGACTTCAAAAAACTTTGGATGCAAACTTTTTTTTCTTGAATTGATTCCTAGTTGTCCGGCTGTGATATATACATTTTGATGTCATATGACACTGAATATCAGGAGACTATAAATTGTGTTAAAATGTATTCTTATTTCATAAACTTCTCTCTCTTCTTTTAGGCTTCATTCATACAAATATGACAGCACATCTGAAAGAAGAAGAGTTGAAAAAAACAATTCCTCTTGGAAGATTTGGGCAGCCTCAGGAAGTTGCCCAAAGTATTGCATTCCTTTTAGAGACTCCTTATGTAACAGGCCTCGTTCTGGTTGTAGATGGAGGTTTGCAGCTTCTGATTTAAACATCATGAATTCTGCATGAAAAGTTATTCAGCAACCCTAAAAATCCCCAAAGAGATCTGAATAATACCCCTCTTACTATGTTTTAATTCAGATTAAAAGAAAGAAAAGATTACAAAGTTCCATTTTTGGTTGAAAATATAAGACAGAGAGGATTAAAATAAATATATTCTAAAAAACTATTAATGGAGTACTATATTTTTCCTGCAAGGTTGACTAATGGAACATTGGATACTCTGAAAGTAATCTCTAAGTGCAGTGGAACCTTTTGCTCAGATGGCCGAGAGATGCTTCTGTCTGTGCGGAGGGCAACTGTCAGAGTCAGTTGAAGATCTGCAGGATTCTAGGCTCCCCTGTTATCTTGGCATGTTCTGAAATAGTGCTGGGGCTGCATAGTATATTATCTCAGCCTGGAAGCTGGTATAATTAATCCCTTCCCAGTTTGACAGAAAATAAAATGCAAAGAAATAAAAAGGTGAGAACACTACTCCTTCCTCCTTCCCTACTTAGTATAAACCAATAGGAAATAGATGCTCTGGCCCCTTCCCCCATACCTGTTCTGTCTCAATTTTTTTTTTAATCATTGGTATCTTAAAAACTAATTCACTTATTGTGGTATATGTTTTCATGAACCTGAGCTTGTCATCAAATAAAGTAGGCTGTAATTTAGAAAAAACTGCTACCATACATCACTTTACTTATATGATGCCACAAAGCTCTATCCTGTTAACTATTAAGAGGAGCTAACATCTCCTCTGAAAATGGGCTTATTTATCATTCATTTTAAAGTAGGGATTTTTTTTCATAGTTTATGTATAATTCTTCCACTTAGAGGGGCAAAATGAATTGATGAAACTTAGGAATGTTGACAAGTCAATAATACCACTGTGCAGGAAATAATGCATACTGCACAAATGTAATGCGGATCTTCTATTAAGTAGTTCCCAATAAAGTTTATAAGGATTTTAACTTTGTAATTAAGGTGGACTTCTGGGGGAGGTATGGTGAACTGAAGATGGCTCTGCAAAAGTGGAGCTGACAACCACGGCAAAGACCAAGGAACCAGTGAATATACCGGTTCCTTGGAACCTATCTAGATGAGAGGATGGGAGATTACCCACATGTACTCCAGACAATTGCTTCTTGCAAGGAGACCACAGGACAGTGGCCTTCCATGGGTTTGAGCACCAGGAGACAAAGGGGTTAGCCATCTTCCTCGCAACTATGGTGGAGTCTTTGAAAGGACACTAAGTTCGCAAACCTCACTTTTTAATCACTTTTGGAAATTGTCTATTAACCATCTTAAAGCTATTAGAGACCTTCAGAATGACAAATTTGAAAAGTCATCAGATGTGATGGAATGGAATTATGAAGGCCAAGCTCA